TGTTGTTAAAATATTTGAATCCCACCACTGAGCCTATGTATATAATAGACAAATAACTTCTTTACACATTTGGCACCATTCCTAGTTGATGAAACTATTAATATTAAATATGTATTTAAAACATGTTTCTACATTCTTAAGATTTTATGTCTTGGGGCCGAAATTTATTCGGTATGAACGCATTTCCAATTATATAATAGAGGTCTAGGGGAAGTCAGGTTTCACTATTTTGTTTTAGGGACAATTTTTCAAGAGGGCATCTATTCCGTGTGTGTGTACATTGAAGAGACGTCTAATATGGGTATTAAAACTTTTATTTAAACAAATGTTTTGAGCTCCTTAGGTGCATTGTAACGGTCAAGGTTACTATAGCGGCTGACACCAAATTAACAACTAACTAGCGAAGTTGCGGGGCACGTAACACGTTGTTTATATCTATGAACGCTCACGCAACATGTCATACTTAATTGAGAATATGATCATAAATAATTATTTGAGGATTCGACATTAAAGTATTGCAGTGCAAAAATGCATAATATATGCAGTATTAAATTGAAAAGTTAAATAATCTGTACATTTCAAAGCTGATACTCTAGAAGCAAGACTACGAAAATGATTTGTCTTAGAAAAAAAAATAATTTTTCAATCACTAAATCAGGTCATGGGGGTCCTAGGCAGTCACCTATAGCTAGATAGGTCCTGTGTTTCGACAAACAAACTAAACTACTATAAATAGGCTTGGCTTAGAAATGTTTTCAAAGTTACATCATTAGTTTCAATCTTAACTTCATCTGTATATATTACAATTTAATCTCCTCTTCATAAAGAGACAAATAAGAAGTGTAACATTTTACTGTCAACTCCACTACCCTATAAGAAAAACTTAGTGTTCGTTACGCCCACTAAACTAGGTCTGTGCTTCTTCTAGAATAAAGTCTGAACAAGGGTAGTGAGCCATACTGGCGAAATATTAGAATTGTTTATGAAACAGAGTAATACTATCCATCAAAAAGAGAGAAAAGAAGGAAGAGAGGAATAGGGTGAAAAAGAGATGGTGGCAGTTTTGGTTTATTTATTGTTAAACACAAAGTTACACAATGGATATTTGTGCAGTGCCCACTATGGGTATCGAATCTCGCTTTTTAGCGTTAAAAACCTTCACACTTATCGCTGGACAAATGACGGGTGTATAAAAAAGTGGAAAGAATAAAAATAAATTTAAATCTTTATTAATAATCTAAAAGTTGTGTGCTTTCTAGTTATATTAAAATGTATTAACTCACCACGCTATTAGATACAGATTTAATTCTACAGTTATCAACTGCTAAGTCAATTCTACAGTGTGTGGTCATTGTATTAGTAACTGTACTTAATAGCGGGTTGGATCACCTTTTGCCAAAATAACAGCCATGATATGATGTTGATTCTACTTCACAATATCTGAGATTTGGGGATTGTTATGGATATGGAAGATACCCAAAGCCTCCATCATGTTCTTCAAACCATACATAATGTAGGCACAGTGAAAGCAAACATTGCCATATTCGAAGTAGCTGTCTCCATCACAGTATACATAAAGCATTGCTGGATGCACTTCATCAAAAATGATGCTGAGTTAATTTGTGGCATTTTTAAGGAACACAGGGTATGCCAGAAAAATGAGACCCAGACCAGTAATCCTCCACCATAGGCCTAGGCAATTGGTACCCCACAAAAGGTGTGAGAAGTTATTCTTGTAGGTTTGTCCAAATACGTCTTCTCCCACTTGTGCAAGAAAGGTAAAGCACGATTCATCGGACCGCATCACTTTTCATCAGCCCTTAATAATCCCATTTTTATGCTACTTACACCACTTAAAGCTTTTTTCTTGTTGGTAACCGGAGTCCAGTGGTTTATGCAATGGTCACTTTGTTGCAATGTTTTTCGCAAGGTGCTCCTGAAGATGGGTGTAAATTTCCTGCACTGAAGTCTGTCAGTTAGTGTATTGTTTGATTACAATTGGGCTTTACCATTCGGTCTAACAACAATCTTTTTCATCAGTGCCTTATATCGACCACTACATCACACTCAGTTTTAGTTCCCCAAGAACTGGTCATGTAATTTATGGCATTAAACTCTTATCTACTATAAAAGACTGGCGTAGCAAAATGAAGAAATATTCTGTTCATTAGGCTTAAGATATCAGCTTGTTTGGATGCTATAATGTCTTGTATTACCTCAAAATTGGACATTAAAGCCTGTATGACTGTTTGTTTTGCATTTTCACAGACTGTCTTTTTTTTTTGTTATTGTTGTTACTTTCCAGAAGACTTGATAAAAAGATCCACATGTTGTATAGCTAGTTTATAATGGGCAACAAACAACACAACTACTTACCAAACATTTAACATATACTCAAGACAATACAGTGATTATAATTACAGTAACAGCAAATTCCATTACACAATCAACATAAACAATAATTTGATACAAGACCTTAAGGAAAATATACAACTTATAAACTTTTACAACAGAATTCATTTACTTAAAGTAGCATATACCCTTTAATACCCAGAAACATAGTAAGGGTGCAAGTTTCACAATTTGCAGGATGTGGTATACTTTTCCAACTAGATAAAGATCTTAAAAAGTGACAGTTTTGCACCTAATTCTCAAACACATTTTCTCAAAATCTGACAACTGACATTCTCATAGTGTTTTTTTAACTCATAACTTCAGATATGTTGATGTTATAGACTTTACACTTGACACAATTATGTATTATTAGTGTATCTATAGTGTGTACTAAGGTAAAGTTGATAAGAGGTTTGATTTTTATTAAATGACCATTAATGAGTCACTGTAGCATATGTCCTACTTCGGGCATACTCAATAGTGCTATAATTTAAGACCTTGAATTAATTTTCAGTTTTCCTTAGTTCAGAGTAATTTACACATCCCATCAAAGTCTGGATCCATTTTCTGGTGCATCCAGTCATGTGTGTAGAAGTTATCAGGAGCATAAGGCATTTCTTTTGTATTTCTTTATATTTATAATATGCAAAATAGCTATAATGGTAATGTTACACAACATATGCCAGAATATATCTTTGTACCTATTTCAATATATTTTCATACAAAAAGCATTTATTTTCTGATAAAAAGGCCAAAGCCTAGATAACACTATGTAAAGGGTATATGCTACCTTAAAGTTAAAAAACAAGAAAAAAAGTAATACATATAATATTACTTAAGACTTTAGTACACTTCTATATGCTAAAAACTTTAATTTTAGTAAATATAATAAACTTTTCCTTAACTATGCTACACAGTTGTCAGAAAATGTACCTAATTTTCTTTAAATAAAACTTTGTTTTTTTTTGCTCATGTCACAATTTTTATGTACATCTACCTATATTAACATATTATTACAGATAGATATATAAAGTAACACAACAGTTATGTTATAGTAAACACCTAAATGGATGAGAACATAACAGCATCTTTCCAAGAGGTAGATTTTGACTGACATCTGTGGTATGCAGGCATACTATGCAATTTTTACTATATTTTATTCAAATTATTCAAAGGGTATGTGTGGTTTTCACATAACACATTCTCAAGAAAGTTATCAAATTGCTTTCATTCTATCTATATTTGTTCTTCATCCCCCAGAGATAACATCTGGTTTACCCATGAAGCGTATATTCGTAAAACTGCACCTTGTCATAAAGGTCAAAAGCAGTGTCCTCTAATGGTATATCAGGTGTTTTCTTGAGGTTACAAGCCTTCCTTATGTTTGAATGGAAATAACCAGACATTACTAACTTACCTAAGTAATGTGAGCTTTAGGCAGTCTGATGCATCATCTTGAGTGAGTTGGTCAACTTGAAAATGTCTTGAAGGAGTAGTACCAGCCTGATCAATACGTCTTTCAACTAAAGGTGACTGTCCTCCATTCAAAGGTGCCATATACATACACACACTGTTGCTTTGTGATATTTAAACAGATTGTTACATTGTATAATACACACTGTCCAGTCTAGTTGTCTTAGCACAGACTCTTGTTTTTGCAAATTCAGTTTACTTTGCAATATAACTTGCCAAATATACTGTTATATGGTGGACTGACATTATTTATTCTTTTGAAAAATCTGTTTTAACTGAGAATACCACGAGCCAATAACTCTTATAATGACTATCTTTCTAAATAACAAAAATATTTCACATTTAAATACATCATTACCATAATTTGTGTCACTGTCTAGTAAAACTCTTGTTTGCTTTTAATTTCAACTACCAGTGATTAAAGAACATTTCTAGAAAGTGATGGGCACAGCCATTATTAAGGCATATGTTCAAATTAAATTGCTTTGGACAAGATGAGTGACACCTAACTTGCCAAGTACATAACACCCTCCTACATTAAGCATCATGTTCCCTGCATTGTTTTAGAATAAAATAACTTGTGAAATATTAGAATTACTTAATTTATAATATTACATAGTTTTAAAGACCAGCTTTTAATAAAATCTTATACTTCAGACTAAATCAACAGTTTATTTTGCTAATAAATTGGTTCATGTTGCCTGACCATTTACAACTTTTCCCAGTAAAATACATCAATTATTTGTACAGAAACATTTTTCTTATTCTTAATTCTAAGTATGGTACAAAATGAACATGTACTATGTTAGAGGATATAAAGTTGAAAACATTTTCTTTCATCCTTTCAACAAAGATACAATGCTCCTAATATGTTACAAAGTGAAAAACTGTGAAATCACAATTTCCTAATTATAATAAATATTTGTCAAAATGTTGCATTACATTTAATTATACATTTTATGGTACCATAACAGATGTATGATTTTCTTCACCAATTCACTTACTGTTCATTTAATTTGACTTCTGTCCTTTGCTCTTGATTTTCTAATTCAACTTCTGAATAAACATCTTCATATTCTTGTTCTTCATTTTCAAGTTGAACTCTTTGCTGTCCATCTTCTAACTCAGTACTAGCTATGTATATTTTATCACACTCATTTTGATACCAATCATCCATGATCTCTAGTTTAACTAATGGTTCTATCACAACTCCTTTTAACTGTTCTGTTTCTTCTTCAGATGCTACAGAAGTACCTGTAGTTTGTGATTCTTCTATACTGATTCCCATATCACCTGCGAAGTTAGTGTTTATACACAATGTGTGAAGAGCTTTGTCACCATGATACTTTGCTATGTGCTTTCTCAAATACAAAACACTCATAAAGGTTTCATCACACATAAAACACTGAAAAGGGTTTTCACCTGGATGTTTTCTCATATGATATACAAGATTTCCATAAAAAGAAAACTCCTTCCCACACACTTTACAAACAAACTGTGTATTCACTGTGTGAGACATCATGTCTTTCACTAAAGATGAAAGATCTTCAAACATTTCACCACACATATTACATGTAAACGGTCCTTCTTCACCACTGTGAACTTGCATATGGTTAATCAGATAAACTTTACATGAGAAGTTGTTTCCACATAAGCTACACACAAACCTAACATCATTTCTGTGAGTCATTCTGATGTGCTTTTGCAAACTAGAATCCTTACAGAAATCTTTACAGCACATAACACAATTGTAATTTTTCTTACCCCAATGTATTCTTTTGTGTGTAGAAAGATGTGATTTTAACATAAATGCTCTACCACAGTTGTCACATTTAAAGGACTTTTCCCCCGAGAGGGTTTTATAAGCATTTTCACCCCAATGTATTTTTTTGTGAGCAGTAAGATACGATTTTATTGTGAATGCTTTGCCACAACTATCACACTTGAAGGGTCTTTCTCCTGAATGAGTTTTTACATGTGTTTTCAAAGATGATTTTTCCTTGAATTTTTTGTCACAAAGATTACACTCAAACTTTTTTTCATCTGAATGTACAAGCATGTGTCGTAACAAATTAGCATTTCTTGCAAATCTTTGGCCACAAAAATCACAGCCAAAAGGTTTCTCACCTGTATGAACTCGTGTATGTGTGTTTAATGAGGAACTGGTTGTAAAACCTTTACCACAGACAGTACATACATAAGGCTTTTCACCAGTATGTGTCCTCCTGTGAGTTGTAAGATGGCCACGTTGCGTGAATCTTTTGTCACATAATTCACACTTGTAAGGCTTCTCACCACTATGAATTCGATTATGAATGTTTAGAGCTTTATTTTCACTAAATTCTTTGCCACAGTAGGAACATTTAAAGGACTTATTAATAGCATGGTATTTCTTGTGTTTAGATAAGGCATGAGATGACTGAAAAGATTTATTACAAGCAAGACACAAGAATTGTACAGTTTTATCATGAACTTTACGTCTATTCAAATTTGTCTTGTGGTTAAAACTTGGTGCTACATACATCATAAATGAAATATTTTTCATCTGAATGTGTTATCCTATGAGGGTCCAAATACTGAAAACAAATCTTGTCTACAAATATCATATGACATAGATATTTTTCTTCTATGCATTTTACACACCTCCCCAAACAAATATTTTGTTGAAATTTTCAGTAATTACTTCACACATTAATATTCATTTGATATCATTAAAAGTTTATATTGTGGTAGATGAAACTTAAGCTGTTTGTAGGTTCAAGATAAATACATCAAAACCTTTGTTACAGTTTGTCACTCGACAATTTATTCCTTTTCTTTCTTTTGACCAAACATCTTTAGAGACTGATAACTGAATTTTAGAATAATAAACCACCTCCTGAAAACAAAGAATTCTCCTTTAAAAACATAGTAAAGCATTAAAAGCATGCATATCTTATATTTATTAACTTTATTATGTTTCTGCAATCTATGCTATAAACAGAAAATATAAATTTTTTTAAACCTTTATTACATGAATTAAGACTCATTTGTTTATGATCAGAAATCAAAATAATGATAAATTTTTAATCTTGCAATAACATTTCACTTAAAATTAAGTTTTAAATTTTACAGTAAAATAGTCACACTGAAGTCAACTATTTACTACTTGAAAAGAACCAATGGCCAAGTTCACACACACACACACACACACACACACACAAAATCAAAGCTGTGCCATTTAAGAATTAAATACACTATAAAATAAAATATGTAATATTAAAACAAGCCAATATATTTGACAAAAATTAATCTGTAAGGAAATAATATTGTGTAGCTCCCAAATAAGTTAATTTTAACTTTCAAACATTCTTAGTAATGTAAACCTGGTGTGACCAGAGCTAACAGTTAGTACCTTTGTTGTCAAACTATAGATCATGAAAAAAAACTTATGCCTTAAAAATTAATCACAGTTTGCCATTTAAAACTTTATTAAGCTAAAACACTAATTCTTACAATAAAAAAGGTAAAACATAAAATGCAATTTTGCATGTGCTCATCTGATAACTGAATTTTAGAATAATAAACCACCACATAATGGGGATATACAGCCATTATCTCATATTAGTCAAAAGCCAAATTCTAAGTAAAACTCCTCTCAATAAAATAGCATTCACTAAAGCCTGACCAACACTGCATCACAGTTCGACATAGCCAAACACTAATAATGGCTGGAGACGGCTTGAATGGGTAATGAAGAAAAACTTTAATATAAGTTT